CAGTCAAAAATATCTTCATAGTCGTTTACCTTTTCTGTAAGTTTGTCTGGACCTCACGTCGGTAGCTACATGTTAATGTACAGTGTTTGATAAGATCTAGGTAATTTTTCAGCTTGATGGGTATTAAAAGACAGAATTGCGGTGGTAATGAAGGTGTTGAGATGTAAAAGAAAGCAGAGTAAATGGTATTCAGGTTGGGACCAAGAATGTTCCCTTGTGGGCCACCTGCTTGCATCGGTCTGATATCTGAGTACAGCTGTGACTCTAAAGCATCAATCAATTAAATCGGGTAAGGAAACGTAACGTTGATATGCGCACATTATAAAATTTTATGGTATTAAATAAATAAAGTTTTTAAAAATTCGTGTTCTTCACGATTTAGAATAATCAAATAAGATTATTCAGAAATCGTGAGATGCGGTCTGGTGTGATGTAGGTTTCAGAAAAACATTTTCTTTGCCAACGTTTCGATCTTTATTGAGATCACTTCAGAGCCTGGGATTTAGAAACATTGTTCAAATTTAACAAATACGTGTAGGATTGGAAAAAAGTGAATTTATACAATACAAAAAAAATACATTGATTGAATATAATTTTTTTTGTAATTTACACGATTTCAACATAATATTGTTACCCCTATTTTTCTGAAAAAATAATCATTGCTTAAAAAAATTGAAAGAGTATGGAAAGATAATAAAAAATCCTTTCAGATCTTTAAATTTAATGTGTAGAGATTAGTGACCGTTAATCGATAGTTATTCAGGTATCGTGAGATGCGGTCGGGTGTGATGTAGGTTTCAGAAAAACATTTTCTTTATCGTGCCAACGTTTCGATCTTTTATTGAGATCATCTTCAGGGCCTGGGATTTACAAACATTGTGTAAATTTAACAAATACATGTAGGATGTGGAAAAAGTGAATTTACACAATGCAAAATATATTTTTTATATATATTCATTCAGAGTATTTCTACTCACGTTGTCAGAAATACTTTGAATGAATATTTTAAAAAATGTATGTTGGCGCGATAAAGAAAATGTTTTTCTGAAACCTACATCACACCAGACCGCATCTCACGATTTCTGAATAATCTTCGACTAATGGTCACTAATCACCACACATAATTTTTTTTTTTTTTTGTAAAATTGTGATTTTTCCATTTCTTTCAATTGTGTCAAAGATTTAAAACGGATAAGAATCTATTTATGAAACGACAGCCAGCAAAAGCAATCGTTTTGCCTTAAATATTTGGCGTTTGTGGATGTAAAGGCAACAATTTGAGGAAGTTTACGACCTCGGTTTATACGAGGCGGGTAATTCATGGGAAATTACTCAACAAAAAAAAAGATTATGGCAACGAGTTATTGTTGTTTTTCTTTTCCTCCGGAATACATCTTTTCATCTTGTTGACTTTTTATTCTTCGTTTTGCAGGTAACAAATTACCTCTGGCACAACTTCTAGTGATTGAATTTGCCGCAAAAATGTCTGTACTTTCAACTAAAAAATAATATTTCGCATATATTATTGTACTCTTTAATCATTGAACGGAGGAAAAACGGTCATTTCGTTCATAAACTGTCCAATTTCCAAGACTCGGATTGATGTCTTCTGTTGGTTTATCGTTTATAGATAGTTATCGGTTAGACAAACTTCGTCTACGACATTTTTTATATTATTGATAAAATCACCAAGAAATTTCAATTTAAAAAAATAGTTGCTTTTAAGTACATCATCATTGCGTTTATCAACCATTTACACAGACTTCTATTATTTTATCCTGATAGCAGGTTGTATATTAATTGTACGTATTTGATTATATATGCCAATTATATAAAAAATTTGGGGTAATGTGCAGTATGAACTTAATACACTCAATAGTATGTTGAACGAGCCCTTGGGCATTTACTGACAATGAGTCAATCTTTAGATATTTCCTTACTGAAGATGGCACAGAGTCGAAACCTGACCCAGTGCCAGTTCGATATGTGTGCACCGATTCGCAGACCAACATCCACCATCAATTTGATAGAAGTTACACTCTATTATTTGACCTTTTTTCGAAGGAATACCAAAATGCAACTTCTAGTAGTAACTTAAAAAATTACTCCTTTCCCATTGTTAAACACGTTCTTTCTAGAGTGAGTGGAAAAAAACAGCTAAAGAGAGACAGCGGCTGCAAGGAATGAGGGATAAAAAAGCCTGCAGTGAAAGAGGGAGAGAAAGTGTGCGTGTGCGTGAGTGAAAGAGAGAGAGAGAGAGAAGACAGCGGGTGAGTGAAAATATGTTAAAGCAGGTGTGAAAGCACGCACGCTTAGGTTACTATATATTAAGTGATTAAAGGGGGAGGAAAAGAAAACAAAATTTCAAGAGTGGTGGAAAGAGAGAAAGAAGGACGTTGAGTGAGGTATCTTATTTTGATTGAGATGAGCGAGACAGAAACCGACGTATAAAGAGAGAGTGTGTTAGAGATTGAGAAAGAAAAAGAGAGAAAAGAGAAGAGAGGAAGAAGATAAAAGAGAAGGAAAGAGAAAGAGAGATACAGAGGAAGTAAGAAAGGTAGACAGATAGAGTGAGAGAGTGTGATGTGAGTGTGCGTATGAAAGATAATAGTCAAAACTAGGGAGAAGATTGAGAGAGAAACAAAGTGAGAAAGATAGAGAGAGAAAGAGAAAGAGGAAAGAGAAAAAGAGAGCGAAAAAGAAAGATAAGTAAAAGAATGATGGATAGAGAAAGGTAGGTAGGTAGATAAATAGATAGATATAGAGAGAAAAAAAGAAAGAAAAGTAAAACAATGATGGATAGTGCAAGGTAGGTAGGTAGATAAATAGATAGATAGAGAGAGAAAAAAAGAAAGAAAAGTAAAACAATGATGGATAGTGCAAGGTAGGTAGGTAGATAAATAGATAGAGAGAGAAATAAAGAGAGTGAGAGAGAGAAATGTAACAAATGTGTAGTATTTAGTGGCCGTTAATTAATGATTATTTGGAGATAGTGAAATGCGGTCTTGTGTGATGTAGGTTAAGATAAACATTTTCTTTATCGTGCCAACGTTTCGATCTTTATTTAGATCATCTTCAGTGTTAACTCAACACTTACAACACGACACACAATCGTGACACATCTACACAGAAAACACTCTCTTTGAGCCCTGAAGATGATCTAAATAAAGATCGAAACGTTGGCGCAATAAAGAAAATGTTTTTCTAAACCTACATCACACAAGATCGCATCTCACGACCACCAAATAATCAGTAATGAAGCATGTAATAAAACCTCTCTCTTTCTCTAGTAATAATTATAATATTTGATATTATGTAATTTAAATATACATGAATATTAAAAATTTAGAGTTTTATTTAGAGAAAAAATTATTGTTTATTCATTCTATTGTGTGTGTGTGTGTGTTTTGTTTGTACGTACAAACATATATAAATAAATTTTATGTATTTTTATGTTATTAGCTGAAAAATACAAAAAAAACTGGCCATTACATACTGCTTTACTTGTCGCTAACTATTGGCATTTATGAACTTAACTTTAAAGTCCTATTCTTTCGTTTAAAGATTGTAGTTATTATTTTAGTTTTTAAAATAGAAATGAATATTGTGTTATATTTTATTTGTTTTTTAATATACATTATAGGGATTAGGTCTTTAAGATTGATCACTCCAGAGGGTTTTCTTTTAAATGAATTGCTGTAATGTTTTCAGAATGTAATACTGGAAAATTGACTTAAGCGCTTTTTTATAAAATGGCACATTAATGGTCAGGCTTTTTGGTTAATAGTAACTCATTTTCATAAGTAATTGTGCACTTTAAGTGTACATTAAATCTAATTAAAGTTCAACTGTAAATTGTATTTTGCAGAGGCGTTGACACCAGGTGATGGACCTGGTGTAAAACTTTCGACGAGGGACATCTGTACCCCATACTATTGTGGTGGTATATCATGATATTTTTATTGCTCGAGGATCAGCCAAGTAACGAAATTGATATTTTTTCTCATAAATATGCTCTATGAGTCCCTCTATGCTATATGAGAGAGTGAAAAATTGATACATAAAGAAACGTCTAGTATTTAATGAGATAAATTTCACAGCGATACTGACCTTTGCCCTATTTGACGAGACGTGTTTGACAAGCTCTTGTTGATTTGATAAAACGAGCTTTTTGCGTCTTAAGGAGCTTATTTGCTCGTGACAATATAGTTTTTTTTTTACTAGTCAATAAAATTTCTGTAAGAATATTCTCAGCAGATAAGTAGAAATTCTTGATTCGATTCTAAATGTCTTCATCTCGTAGGCTTATCTTTCATGAAAAAAAAAAATATATATCTCGTTTTCTTTTACGTCACGGAACCCTAGGGATAAACCGAATATTTTTCGTGTCGGATCGAACTTGTTCCTGCGTACCTTTTTGTGTTCAACGATACCCTTGCGTTTTCGACCATCCCGAGCCTGACTCCAGACCGGAACGGAGACTTTTTCTTTTTTTTTTTTTTTGTCTATCGAAGAATGTTTTTTAGGGCGTCCTTCCGCTTGAACGGCGTATAACGTAAGGGGACAAAGTATAAGGGTCAAGGGGACATTTCGTTTTAAAGGGCCTGGCCCAGGTTCAATTTATGACCCTATTAAAGATTTCCCGTTCTGTCTGATAATCAGATCCCGAATATTTTAAACGTTAATCTCATTCGTCCATTATGTGGTGATTACGACGCATTTCACGAAATGCACGGTTTATTTATAGTCAGGGGCTATATTTACATGTTGCCTTTATTGACTGATTAACACGCTAATCATTAAAATAGGATTTTAAAACACATAAAATTCGTACTTAATTGAACGTGTGTGTTTTTTTTTACATGCAGGTAAAAATTGTGCAAGGTGTAAATATTGTTGTGATTAATTTTCCCCTTTTGGCTTATTGTCGTATTGGGACCATTGAACATTCTACGCATGAGTGTTTGTTTATTTTTATTTTGATTATTTGTTTTGCGCACCTGATGGTGGCGATCCCTTGGCCTTCGACTTCCTTGGGTAGATGACGGGAATGTGGCTTTGTCCACAGCCCATCACTGTCCACCGGGATCCATCACATAAACACAGGCACTGCACAGCACGGCTATCCACTCAGCACTGGGGTGCTGCTCGGGACTGGATGCCTCGGCTGGCCCCCACTCCGCGCCGCCACCGCACCCCTCGCTAGTCCAGCGAGGCGTACTTCGCGGGGGCCGCTATATATAAATTCGAATACGGTCGCATCAAAAACAACAGCGGTTTAGTGGGTTTCCGGTGGCCCGGGGGACCGGCTGACGCTCTGGGAGCGGCCCGATGGCACTACCGGTTCCGATGAAAGCGATGCAACTAACTGTACATACAGAACGTGACATGACATATAGAACTAGAAAAATTTTAGATTTAAACTAACAGGGGAAGGCTAGGGACATGGGATCTCAGATTTGAATGAAACCTTTGGTAATACTGTCCAAAAATCGAAGAAACTTGTCCGAGCTTCCTTGCAAATGAGCACTAGAAGCCGAGAAAAAAAAATTCAAAGTCATATCATAGTTTTCTAAAGAGGTTTTTCTGCCTTTATTCTGCATGCATTTCAAGGTTATTGTACAGGGTTTCGACTTTTGTTCCCCTCTGTTTTTCTCAAAAAATAATCATCTCATAAAAAATTTAACAGAATTTTTTTTACCATAAGCTCAATCCCAAATTTATGGATAATGGCGAAAACCATTCGAAAATCGGTTCATGAAAACGTTAGATTTACAGGGTTTTAACTTACTAGTGTCCCCTCTAGTGTTTTCGCATATCAACCCAGAAAAAACTTAATCAGTATTTTTTTCATAAGTTATACTTTCAAACATTGAAAATAATTAGTTTGTTTTTTAATTGCCTAAAAAGATATAAATATATAAATTTTGTTTTTTAAATGGCAACCTACAATTTTATCTACGGAATATTCTAGTTCATTAAAGTTTAAGAATAATGGCGAAAACCATTTGAAAATCGGTTCATAAAAAACTTAGATTTACAGGGTTTTAATTACTAGTGCCACCCCTAGTTTTCTCAAATACTAATCATCAGAAAAATTTTTAGTTTTTTTAGCATAAGTTATACTTTCACACATTGAAAATAATTATTGTTTGTTTTTCAATTGCCTAAAAAGATCGAAAATATAAATTTTGTTTTTCAAATGGCAACCTACATTTTTATTTACGGATTTTTCAACTTAATTAAAATGAATGGATAATGGCGGAAACCATTTGAAAATGGTTCATAAAAACGTTAGATTTACAGGATTTTAACTTACTAGTGTCCCCCTAGTTTTCTTATAAACTACTCAACCCAGAAAAAACAGTATTTTTTAGCATAAGTTATACTTTCAAACAATTAAAATAATTATTGTTTGTTTTTTAATTGCCTAAAAAGATATAAATATATAAATTTTGTTTTTTAAACGGCAACCTACATTTTATCTACGGACTCTTCAAGTTCATTAAAATTTATCGATAATGGCGAAAACCATTTGAAAATCGGTTCATAAAAACGTTAGATTTACAGGGTTTCATCTTACTAGTGCCTCCCCTGGTTTTTTCAAATACTAATCATCCCAGAAAAATTTTTTAGTTTTTTTAGCATAAGTTCCATTTTCAAATATTGTAATAATGGTTGGCACAATAAACAAAATGTTTTTCTGAAATCTACATCACACCAGACCGCATCTCACGATTTCTGAATAATTATTCTAATAATTACTGTTTTTCTAATTTCGTTAAAAAGAGAGAAAATGAAAATTTTGTTTTTCAAATGGCAACCTACATTTTTATTTACGGATTTTTCAACTTAATTAAAATGAATGGATAATGGCGAAAACCTTTGAATAGAAAAGAATAAACTTTTATTTGTACGTATGCAATACAATATATACAATAATTTTAGAAGGTAGGGAAAGTTTCACCGTGGCTTCCAACTATTTACAAACTAAGCATTTTTATATAGTAAGAGGTACGAGAAATTCCATAATAATTTGTGGGAAAAAATTTATGTTACAAAAACCACGTGCAGAGGGATGAAGTCTATACATTTTTATCTCAATTAAAAACCTTAATTAATTGTAATATATTAATTGGTCAAGCGGACCACGAAATTAGTCAATTCTATACATAGGATTAAATAAATGCATATAAAAAGTGTAGATGAGAAGTAAATAAAAATTACATAAATAAACATATAAATATTCACAAAGTATTCAGCACAAGGTATTTAGTGACCGTTAGTCTATGATTATTCGGAAATCGTGAGATGCGGTCTGTGTGACGTAGGTTTCAGAAAAACATTTTCTTTATCGTGCCAACGTTTCGATCTTTATTGAGATCATCTTCAGGGCCTGGGATTTAGAAACATTGTTTAAATTTAACAAATACGTGTAGGATGTGGAAAAAAGTGAATTTGTACAATGCAAAAAAAAATACATTGATTGAATATACATTTATTTTATTTTTTATTTTTTTTTTTTTTTTTGGAATTTACACGATTTCAACTTACTATTGTTACTCCTATTTTTCTGAAAAAATAATCATTGCATAAAAAAATTTAAAGAGTATGTTTTTAGCATAAGCCAATTTCAAATTTATGGATACTAGCGAAAACAATTTGAAAATTAGTTCATAAAAACGTTAGATTTAGAGGGTTTCAACTTAGTTGTGTCCCCCCTAGTTTTCTTATAAACTACTTTTTTTTAGCGTACGTTATACTTTCAAACATTGCCATAATTACAGGGATTTTTCTTTAAAATGTTCAAAAGTAACCATTTTTATTTTCAAATGGTAACTTACTTTTTCAGCGGCGGATTCATCACATCAATTCCTTTTTAAGGATAACTATTTGAAAATTTTTTCATAAAAACCTTAGATTTACAGAGATTCAACTTTTTGGTATCCCACCTCGTTTTCTCATAAACTACTTTACCTAAGAAAAAAATTCCAACAATATTTTTGTTGGTTTAAGATCTACTTTCAAACACTGCAATAATTTTTTCGTTTTTTTCTTAATTTCTTAAAAAAGGTGGTGAAAAGTAATATTTTTTATTTTTAAATATAACTTACTTTTTCAATTGAGGAGTCAGAAAATCAATTTGATTTTATTAAAAAATGGCGTAAAACAATTTGAAAATCGGTTCATAAAAAAACTTCACATGACAAAAACACGTTAAAAGTTACCTTTTTAAACTATTTGTATTATTTTTTTACCATTTTATTGGTATTATTATTTATCAAAAATAATTTTAAACTAGTGATTAATTTATGTGTCAAATATTATTTAAGTACATAGTATATAATAGGAGATAAATCAAAATCTATTATATTATAAATGCATTTATCTCCATGATCAATTTTACATTTTTTAATTTCAAATTTCTCAAACTAATCTAGTACTTCCCTTTGTTGAAACTGTGTAACACTGTTATATTTGAAATTGTCTTTTGTTTCTTTTAGATGGTCCTTAAATTCCGAAAATTTGTTCGATTTACGCAAGTGCAATTTTGAACACTCATCTCTAAAAGCTACTCTAAAATCTTTCCGTTTAAGAATTTGACCTACTTTTTCGGATAGTTCAGTTTGGCAAGTAACGAAAACCTATTGATTCATTTTTGGCCGTGTGACTGAGCCGGATTGTTGCTCCTTTTAACGTTTTTTTTTTTTACTAGCAACCTTTCGATAAATATTTTTTTAAATTTATTGTTTTTAACTAAGGTTTTTATTGGTCATAATTATTTTTATAATTAGCAGGTGTTAATAGGAGTTTCAACATACTGTCTATGAGCCAAATGAATCCAGCAGCTATTTGGGTCCGTGGGTGAGAAAAATCTACTGGTTCCTAATGTCTGTAGTTGTAGATTTTCTTTATATATCTATCTCAATTAGGTTATGGACATTTTTAAGTCTAAAAAGTTTAAACAACCATCTTTATTTATTTCAATGTAAAATTTATACTAGGGTGTAAAGAATTAATTAATTGGATGAATTCTGTTAGGTCCTGTAGTGTTCCCGACTACATACATAAAATATCGTCTACATAGTATTTCCAAAAAATAGTCAGACATAATTAATTTGTTATTTGATTTATAAACGATTTTTTTTTCAAAGTTATCCATTAATATTTGGGCATAAGGTGGAGATAATGTAGAGCCCATTGGTAACCCTTTCATTTCATAATTAAATAGAAGTTTATTATATCATTTTTTACAAATTCGTTATTTCCAATGTAAAACTTATACTCGGGTGTAAAGAATTAATTAATTGGAAGAATTCTTTCAGCTCCTCTAGAGTTCTCGTCTCTAAATAAAATATCATCTTCATAGCATTTTCAAAAAAGGACAGATTTAATTAATCTATTATTTGATTTCAAAAGAATTTTTACAAAGTTATCCATGAATATTTCGGTACAAAGTGGGGATAATGGAGACCACATTGGTAACCCTTCAATTTCATAAAACCAATGACGCCATAAGAATAGCACCACACTTTATGTGAGTATGAAATACTTGGTTCAAAATTTATATTTACGTCTTAAATTGTATTTTCTCAAATCAACATACGTTTTGTAATTTACCCATGCACTGAAGAAGACTCGAATAAAGGTCGAAACATCGGGAAAAAAATGAAAAAGGTCTTTTTCTAAACTACCTCATTCTTGACCGCTTCACAACAAATTATGAAACAACAGGTCACTAAGAAACACACATAAAATTTATTATTAATTTACAATCTAATTAGATAGTAGGAATATATTTAATAGGTCTGTTATATCAGTTTTTACAAATTTATTAAGAATGTTTTCCACGTTTTTATTTCATTAGTTTAGTACATTCTTAAACGTTAAATAAATTTGTGTGGTGTTTAGTGACCGTTGGTTAATGATTATTTTGAGATCGTGAGATGCGGTTTGGTATGACATAGGTTTTAGAAAAACATTTTCTTTATCATACCAACGTTTCGATCTTTATTGAGATCATCTTCAGGGCCTGGAATCAACAAACGTTGTTTAAATTATACAGATACATGTAGGATGTGAACACATATATTTGTATAATTTAAACAACGTTTATTAATCGTCAATCGTCGGCGACCGGTCACTAGCGAAAAAGT